GAGTCTTGCTTTCATACGGCTTTCTGCCATAGCTCCACCCGCAACAGAACCGGCACTGCTCCGGAGTTTTTCAATCTCCTGTCGCAGGGTGGTCCGTTCTGTCTCCAAGTTCTTGATCGATTCGTCCTTCTCCAAGAACTGAGCCTCAACACTGCCTATCTTATCAACAAGAGAGGCTTTTTCAATGCGCTCTTGTAGCAAAGCCTTCACAACCGCTTCTGGAGAATCGAACTCGGCCGGCTGATCATTGTCTTGCAAGAGACTAGTCCAAGACCGTCGCTCGTCTTCCAACATCTGGATCTGGATCTGAGCAGTCCCCAGCTGTGACTCCACATCCTTCATCAACTGCAGCTGGTTTTCCAAGGATCTCTTTTGCTCCTCCACAACTTCAACATTCTTCTGTATTTTCCGTAGGTGTCGTAGTTCAGTGCTTTGCTCACGGTTTGTGGTTTCCAGATTTCTGATATGGCTGACTTGCTCGGAAAGTTCGCGCTTAAGAACTGACAGCGTTTCGCTATCTGTTCCCTCAGCTTTGAGCCGGAGATTTTCCGTTTCCAAATCAGCGACCTCTGTTTCTCGTTGACGCAGCTTCTCTTGTGTAGTCTGCATATCACTCCGAACAGTCTGGAGGTCATTCTGCAGTTCCTCTATCGTCTTTTGTAAAGACGAGCGTATAGTATCGAGCTCGCTGATCTGATATTTGTACTGTCTTTCCTGATCGAGCGATTGTGCCTTTGAGTCTTCCACCTCCTCCTGAAGTAACTGATTTTGATCTTGAAGACTTCTGATCTTTCGCTCAAGGCCAGCTTTCTCATTAAGGGCATTGTCCTGGGTTTCTTTCAACTCTTTCGCTAGAGTCTCGCTCTTGTGGGTGGCCCGGTGGCTGTTACTCTCTGCAGCCTGTGGGACAGAAACATGGTCAGTGGAATAGACGTGAAGTAGTGGCTGAAGAATTGAACAAACCTGAGCTTTTCGGAAGTCCGAATCTGCCTTGAGCTGCAAATCCCGTAGTTCCTTCTCATGACGCAGGACCATCAAATCCCTCTCTTGCTTGAAATTCTCCAGCTCATACTTTAATGTATTCACCTGTACTAGCAGCTCCTCCTTTTCCGTGTCTAGAGAGGCTATTAGTCTTGAAGCACGCGCAGCCTGAGACACAGAAAACATTAACCTACCAGGCTTTGAGGGGTAAACTGAGCGGACCGATTGTTGCAAAGCGTCGGGTGCTGGTGGAAGCGACAAGGGAGATTCTGCGCGCATGGTGTCCCGCGAAGGACGTGAATTGATGCTCGAATTCATCTGAGGCGCATTAGCTTCCTTGAGCCAAACTGGCTGCATTTGACGACTTACGATGGATCGATCTGGCAATAGTATTTATCGTGTGACACGAGTTTTCGGGATGAGTTCATCCGAAACGGTAGATTCCATATATGTATTCTGAATCGCCGCAGATTCCAGCCTTAGACTGAGCATAAGGGCGCAATCATCAGGCCCAGCGCCAGCAAGTGCCTCATTGTTTTTCGATAACAACAAGAGAGCGATGACATCCCGGATAGGCATGTGGCTGAGTCAGCCAGCTCACCGCCCGCGCAAGCTTTGATTCTTAAAGAGGACTAGCGCCGAAATTTTGAAATGGATTTCGAATTTTTGCGGGTTTCGACGAGACCGACGACTATTCCTCCCCACGCCCGTCGCCATTCTCCTCGTCTCTTTCCCCCTCTTCCGGATTCAGTTCAACTCCCTGGGTGGGTCTAATAATCACAATGGCTAAGGAAAGGACCGAGAAGAAGGACAAGCGCGAGAAGAAGGAGAAGCGCGCGGAGAAGGACGGCGTCTCCAAGACCAGCAAGAAGGAGAAGAAGGAGAAGAAGGACAAGGTCGCTCTCGCCGACGCCGTCGAGAAGGAGCTCACCACTAAGGTTCTCGATGGCCTTGATCAGGCTGCCACTGAGGCTCCTGTCAATGGCGCTGAGACCGAGCGCATGGACGTTGACAGCCGCCCCGTTGGCGCCATTGTTCCTTTTGCCAGCCCTCTGGTCGAAGACAAGAATGCCAAGAAGGTCCTGAAGAGCGTCAAGAAGGGTAAGGATATCTTTTTATCTTTTTGCATATGTCTCCCAGGAGTCCTGCCGCCTTCACTCTTGCTCCCGACGAGATGGCGTGTGGATTTGAATCACTTCTAGCCTCTGGCCCTGAGGGCTTACGATTGCCGCGTTCGGCATTGACTGCGCATCCATCTATCACTTAATAAACATTCGCTAACGTATTGACTTATGATAGCTGCCGTCAACAAGTGCCTGAAGCGCGGTGTCAAGGAGGTCGTCAAGGCTCTCCGCAAGTCGCCTATTCCCGCTGCTAACGCCAGCATCGGTGTCCCCAACGGTGTCGTCATTCTCGCCGCCGATATTTCGCCCATGGACGTTATCTCGCACATCCCTGTCCTGTGTGAGGACCACGGTATCCCCTACGTCTTCGTCACATCCCGAGCTGAGCTCGGCAACTCCGCCGCCACGAAACGCCCCACCAGTGTCGTGATGGTTGTGCCCAAGTCGGCTTCCAAGGGCAAGAAGAAGGACGGTGAGGATGATGGAGAGGACTTCACCGAGGTGTTCGAGGAATTGGCCAAGCTCGCCCAGAAGGAGGCCAAGAAGGTGAACCTGTGAAGTTTTCAGCTGGACTTCTGAATCCACCTTTTCCTTTGCTCTGTTGTTTCTTAATTATACGGCTTCTTTATGTGTCTTGTCACTTTGCTGCTATGGCTGTACAGTTTCACTTTGTTGTCTGACAAGGCAGTGCATGTCTTCGGGGTCTGGCCTTTAGGACGTGTTCATTGGGTTGATCTTTTATGATGTGTCCGTTGCAAATCCGGCGTTCTCACATGGTGTATGAAAAAAGGCAGGAAGTATACAATAAAAATCCCAATCTTGACCAGAGCCTTCGTAAGCTGTTCGTACAGAGCGCCAATGGGGACAATTCTTGCTTCCATTGTGAGGGATGGGGAGAGAGAAAAGATTGACGGCAAGAGGGGTAAGCAGGAGAGCCCGCATTTCAGGGGATTAACCATAATTGCGACTATTTTTATTGGGGGTTGCTCATCTCTGCGTGGGAAGATATCGTCGCCTTCATGGATCATTCGACATGGAAGAAATGCCCAAGGCGGCTTAGCGTGTGCCTTAATTCGGGAGGGAAAGCAATACAGAGTTAGCGGAACATACAACCAACCACCTGAAGGAGTTCAACCTTCTATGACCAGCAATGAAAACGAGCTGGGGTAAACCCAGATAGTGAGTGTAACATGTCGTGGCTTACACGAAGCTCCTTCTGTCATCCCTATCGGTCTTTATTATCCGTCTTTATCCTCTGGAAGGCCTCATTGCTTCTCCTGGCCATCTTAACTCCCGGTCCCGGGTACGATACCTCCACGACCTTATTCCCATGGCACAAGAACACAAATGAAACAGAAGGAATCGTTCAATTCACCTTGAGGTGTATATCTACCAAGTTGACAAGATGGGATTCCATTTACTTTACTGAAGCGGCCAGACGAGGCCATCTCTTGGAGCAAGAATGGGCATTCAGTTATGCGTTCTCCAAATTCCTTAATCTATTGGCCAGTGGTAGGCGTCTTTCATACACCCCATAAGCCAATCCTCTGTGTTCTAAGATTCTTGATAGGCTTTACAAACATTTGGGCTATCCCCTATGAATTCAAGCATAGTGCACACGGTATTGCCATTTCCCACGCAGCTCATGCCATCTCGGTGGTAGTTCTCTGTCGTTTGGCATGCACTCTATTCCCTGGAGCGCAAGGACGCAAGCTAGCTTTTATCGCAGCATGCCTACACATTATTTCGCCTGCTGGACTTTTCCTATCTGCTCCCTGCACGGAAAGCACGTATTCTCTCCTAAGCTTCACTGGCACTCTTCTCTTTGCTCAAAGTTTTGGTGCTCGCGGCGTCTCCACCAGCATCAAAGATAGCCTCCTAGTGCTTGCGGGTATCCTGTACGGCTTATCCACCGCTGTGCGTGGAAATGGTCTGCTCAATGGCATCGTTCTTTTCGAAGAAGCATGTCGAGTCTTGTATTCATTAACGCAGGGCTTCAGCTTTGCCAAGTTTCGCCGCCTGGTTGCGGTCGGTCTCGGAGGTATTTGCACGGGGCTCGGGTTTGTGTTGCCGCAATATATAGCCTACCAGCACTTCTGTGCCACCCACGAAGACCCGTCAAGAGAATGGTGTCATCGAACTATACCCAGTATATACAGCTTCGTTCAAGACCATTACTGGTAGGTGCCTTATCCCGCTTTTGTCAATATTCGCTGACGTATGCAGGGACAATGGCTTTCTTCGGTATTGGACTCTGTCCAACATGCCATTATTTGCACTAGCTAGTCCAATGTTGGCCATCTTGGTGTACTCTGCCATCTGGACGCTCGGGGTGGGTTCTAGGCGGAGGGAAACACCCACAAATACAACGCAGCCAGGGTTCCCGACTGGCCAACTGACAGGTCGTTTATTGCGTAGCCTGGCAGCTCCTCAGATCACCCTTGCCATTATGGTGTTTTTTTGCAATCATGTGCAGATCATCACGCGACTGGCCTCTGGTTATCCAGTGTGGTATATATGGACAGCGACTTCGATTATGAACAGATATACAGGTCCTTCATCTGCATTGAAGCGGCAGCTGGAGAAGACGAATGACCAAAATGGTTATTGGCAGATAATTGTTCAGTACATGGTGATATACGCTGCCGTGCAGGGCGTACTTTTTGCAGCGTTTCTTCCTCCGGCCTAAACCAGCATAGGCGAAGACGGTGTATATAAGTAATACTGTTCTTTAGGATACCGTGGTCAGAGGCCGGCTATATAACATCAATGTCGGCTCTAAGCTACTTTCTGGACAAACTACCATAGCCCCATCCTCTACTACAGCAACATGTGCATCATGGCAAGACGTTTGAGCTACATTGACATTATGACACAGAAAAAAATGATCAATGATCTGGTCAGTCTCTGATTGTTCATATCATCTAGATAGATACACTAATACAGGAATGGAAGGACGCAGTCCTTCTCGAAGAATAAGCCCATTCCTTCAAAACCCCCAAAAACCATTACACACGGGGAAGATCCAAAAATAATAAACGCGCTTTGCTTTTCATAACATCATCCATCAATGGCCCAAAAATCAAGCCCTCTGGTCCGACTGCAAAGCCTGGTACGGTTGCTGGTTATCGATGCCCTTCTGTCTACCGGCATTGGTACCATCAGGACCACTCTCCGCAGTCTTACGCTGGAAGCCACCCTGTGCCAACCGACCAGGGTCATTCTCACTACCGATATCAGTAGTCCAGCTAGCATTCGGCGCATCATCAGGAATATCTCCTTCCTTCAGGTTGGCACCCTTGGGCTTGCTGTCACTCAAGCTACCAGTCACATCGTGAACGTAAGACGGCGCGGCTCCAGCATTGTGCTGGCTACGGTAGCCGCTGCCACTAGCCTGAGCGGGCTGCTGCTGCTGCTGCTGGGAGTAGCTAGCACCACCGCTTCTTCCTCCTCCAGAGGACTGTTGCTGCTGAGACAGCTTCTGAGAAGCAGGGTACTGGCCCTGGCCGATACCGAGTTCCTTCTGGGCAGCAGTGGGACCACCGACGTAGCCGGACTCGGGAAGGTGAGCGCCAGGGTAGTTGCCTTGTCCGCCTAGACCCTCGGGGTACCTGTCCTGGGTGTCGGCGTTGGAGTCGAGCTTAGTGGCAGCACTGGTGTCGGTGTTTCGGACAGTGGATTGACCTGCGGAAACGCCCATGGGCTGGGCTCCGCGGTTCTGGGAGAAAGCGCCGCCCTGGGTGGCTGATTCGGCGGCCAAGGAGTCGTTGGTGATGGGACCAGAGGGCTCTTGAATAGGGTTGTTTCTGCGCTCGGGGTCGGAAGTGACCTTTGTTGTTGAAGTCAGCATCTATGCCTCAATTGTAACTTGGGCAGTGCCGAAGCAAGTGACAACATACCTTAGTGCTTCTCTGGCCAGGGGGGATGGGTTGTCCTTGGAGATCCATGGTTATAATGGTTGTTATATGAGATATAGAAGAAGTATAAAAAGAGTAGTGTTAAGAGGATTAGATTACTGGACTGGTTTAGTTGGTAGACTGATTGTTAGATAGAATAAGTTAATTGCTATCCGATCCAACAACTCATAACGACAAAAAAGCCATCTATATACTCTAGGACGAGCGAGCCAAATGAAACGGATGGCGTCAACTTCCCCGAGTCTGAGCGCTTTGCTTGAGTTCATCCCAGCACATGATGTCATACTGACATTACGATGAGTCCACCGAATTCAACAGAGAACAAGCGAACAGGTACGTCAACGAGCAGTATCTGGTCTCCAGTTGTGGCGTTGTCAATGAACTAAACCATCGAAAAGGAAGGGAGACAAAGCAAGACAGGAATTCTACGTCTTCCAGATCAGCGAACTGGGCTGTTGTTTTCTGCAGGGGAACCCGGCCCCTTCCCCCCCCCCTCTCGCCCCTTCCCCTTTTGTGCCGGATGTTGCCCTCGAGGGCCCAGACAACTTCGGTAGGATCCACCCACATGTCTGATTGCCATTTCCGGTAGAACTAATTGGGTATGAGCTCTTGCTTAGGTACTATGGTTGTTGCTATGATGTTTTTGTTCTCTCTCTATTGCGTAGATTACTAGTGGTTTGGATGCTTTGCTAGCCTCTAGGTGGTATTGCTGGTATGACGTCATGGTGGTTGGGTGCATGAGGAATGCTCTCTCTATACTACTCATCTCTTGTTACAAAGGATACGTGTTCAATACCTGGCTATTGAAGTGCATTATTGGATGCTTTTCGTTCTCTAGCTCCTACGGTCTTGACCGTGCTGTTTGACTGAAAGGTCTTAGGGTTTCTGTCCGCAAGCCGATTGGACCGGCTGTGTAGTATTGCTTAGCCTACTTGAGTTGATAGTACTAGTAGTAATATTAGTCTACCAAAGTAGACTAGAATATGAAGAAAAGAAGCTTTTATTCTATTTCGTAGTAGCAATTACAGATCAATGCCTAATGTAGCTGATCAACCAAGCACATGAAACAATTGATGCTTCTTTTACTAGTACCCGCGCGGGTAGATAATATATTTATAGTATACAAGTGGAAAATGAACCAAGCTATCTTGAACAGCAATCTAAATTGGCCCTACCAGTATACTATTCAATATAAGAAAAATGATAGTGCAATACGACCATAGGGAGAATAGTAGTAAGATATAATGGTTATAGGACATTCATTTTGGTTCATTAAATGCTCAAGTCATAATAGTACACATAAAAATAGGCCGTAGTCAATACGCCCTCCCCAACATTAACTCATAATATCCAATTCACCGGTAAAGAGCATCCCGGGGCAGACCTTCAAGGTTATCCTTGCCCTGGCGTCCAACACCACTCATGGGTTGCGTGTTCTTGTGGTATTCTTCTCCAGATACCCGGACACTGCTGCTTGCAGTTGCGGGTTCTCTCAAGGCGCTGTTGTTCTCGCCCGAAACGGGTCCTTCGCGACCACCCGAGCCGACGTTGACGGTTCTCTGGTCCATAGAGTTCCAGTCGCTAGCACGAGGGGGATCCTCGGGCAATGGCAGGTTGGACTGGGCCTTATCGATCTGAGCCTGCTTGTCGGTGTTTTCATCGATGATGGACTGGTGTATATTATTAGTATCCGTCAAAAGAGGAATATTAAGTCAAGTGAGGAATTACCTTCATGGCGGAGACGTTAGAGTTCTTGGGGGTCTTGCCATCATGAGCATGGGAGGCATGGGACTCAGGCTTGCGGATGTCCTGGATGGTGGTGTGGAAAGTCTGTTCGGACATTTTGGATGAGGTTGTGTGTGTGGTAGATGAAGTGGTAGTTGAGATGAAGTTTGTGGTTAGAGATGCGATAGATTGATTGTTGAGGATGGATTGAAAGTTGATTGATTGCTAGGATGACCCTGATGGGATCAATGTACCTTTAATATGTTGTTGCAGTAGACAAGAACCGATGGGCGTGGCTGGTGACGTTGGCCGCGACGACGTCATAGAAGCCGGCTACACCTTGGTTCGCCTTGCAACCAACCCAGCATCATTGACCCCTTCATCATTGGGGCTAACAGTGTCCACTCAATTATGGAGACTATGAGCGAATTAGACAAGTCTTGACTGGAAAATCGTTCTATTGGGTGAGGGAATATCAAGAAGTTGCCGGTGAAACAGCGTCCCCTGAAGCCTTGAAGTTGTCTGAACGATGATGGCAACAATAACGACAGTTCTCCGCATAGCAGAATGCTGATACTGTGTACCTGGAATCTATCATTCCTTCTCCTTCCTTTGACTTCTTGACCCAATTTAATTACATATTCACCTCTATTGTCACCCGGTGAAGGGACAGGAGTCGCTCTAAGCCAAGCCCCAGGTACATGGGATCAGCACACCAGTGATGCCATATGAGATCTGATACTGAAGGTAGAACAATTCAGGGACATCATCATGCAGCCCAAAGCGGGGTCAATACTCGTTGAGATGAGTAGACATGCTAAGCAGATACCTTCCCCAGTCTGAGGAGTGACGTACCACTTAGGTGTCCAACGATTTTCGAGTGGTATTGATACACAAGTCTGCAAATGAAATGACACTACTACACAGCACTGGATTCAAAACGGAGCACTGTTTTCCGATCGTTATGCAAACAAATTGCATCCGAGACTCGAATCGCGCCTATACTCGTGAATACATATCTCTGGTTGAAATAGGTGATGTTGGGCTTGGACGTTGGGCTAAGTCTAATCCAGTATAGCGAGTCTTCGGCATCTTACTCGGAGTCACAAACTTTCCATATCAGCATTGAAAGTCATATAGATACGAACTTAGACTTGATGTCCGCTTGTCTCAAGGGAAGACAATACTATCAAGGGCGACTGTCGATTGAGGACGGACCGAAAGCGATGCTTGTCACAACGCGTAGGCTATTGCACCCCACAGACGTAGCATGAAACCACTGGACTTTGTGGCAGCTCCAAGCATCGTTAGTAGCGTCAAGCATATCAATTTTAATCAGTGTTGATGCCCGGAGAACAGAATTATATCGAAGAGATCTTGTTCAGAGTCAGGGACAATCGGGGTCTCGATCGGGAACCGCGATCTCAGACCGCCTTCCTAGGGAGGATGGCAGAAATTGATTATCTCCCCGCTGATGCAGAAATGATTTCCCCAACACTCAAGCGATCAGATCGATGTTATTTTCTTAAAATCATTCTTTTCCTGCTCATATACCTTAGAATTGCTGCGCGCGTTGTAAGATGCCTAGAGATCCGTTAATTGGGCTGGTCGGAAAGGTCTGGGATCCTTTTACCCCTCATACGAGACGCCGCTGATCGAAGTGAGGGGCATGTAGCCATCCAGCGGAAAATCGACCACATTAAATAGTCTGACAGATGCCTCTTCCAAAGTCGGTAAGCTACTTAAGTTCTGCGCTTTGAATTGTGTCGGAGCACAAACTTATGGCATGTTTCACATCCAGGAAATTTCCCGTATGTTCAATCTTATTGCCGTTATCGTCCTACATCGATATAGATATCGCCCATCGGACGCCGTAATGGACCGTTTATCAGAACTGTTCTGACTGGCAAAACACAGTTTCACTACGATCGATCCCCAGCGCGCCATTGGCTACCTTCAGATAGAATGCGCCTGTCAACGATTCAATGTCTCCGATAAGTGCAAACCGAACTACGGAGGATGTGTGGAGGGACGGCGCTCTGTTCCCATTGAACTTCTGGATGTCGCAGGTCTTGTACCAGGTGCACACCAAGGACGCGGTCTGGGTAACAAGTTCTTGGATGACCTGCGCCATGCCGATGCTTTAATCCACGTTGTGGACGTTAGTGGAACAACCGATGCGGAAGGTATGGAATATTGATATCTGGGAAAATCTCGGAACGGCATCACTGATGTCGCACTCTACAAATACAGGCAAAGCTACACGAGGATACGATCCTTCACAGGATATTGAATGGCTGAGGTCGGAAATTGTACGCTGGGTTCTGGGAAATCTCATGCAGAAATGGTATGCTTGAGCGCCAGGAGCTACATAATCAGGGCTAATACCGTGCAGGGGTTCCATCAAGAGGAGGCACATGGCAGTCAGTAAGTTTGGTCATAAATCAGCCAGAAGCATCTTTCTGTGCTAATCAACATCAGAGGCTACGGCCGTGGATACCTTGCAAGCCCAGTTTTCCGGTTACGGAGGTACAAATGCGATTGTTGCCCGATGCTTGGATCGGATGGGGTTGAAAGAGCCTCTTGAGGAGTGGTCCGATGAGACCGTCGAGAAGGTCGTTGAAGCCTTCATCGCAGAGAAATTCCCGACAGTCTTCGCCTTGAACAAAATTGATCATCCGGATGCAGACAAGGTTGGTCAAATATCTCAAGTCACCATGTTGCCGTCGTTACTGACAAGGTGGACTTAGAATATTAGCAAAATCGCTAAGATGCAAGATCCTCAAACAATCGTACTCTGCTCCGCCATTTCAGAAGTTTTCCTCCGGAGGCTGGCAAAACAGGGATACATTAAGTACGTTGAAGGAAGCGAATTCTTAGATACGAGGGAGGACCTTATCGAAATGGGCGATCCCGATGGAGGCGGCCTCAAAGAAATGGACGAGAAGCTCACACAGTACGAAGACACTATATACGCCCTTCTAGTGGGCCATGCTAACATGCACATAGGCGCGTTGAGAACTTGAAAGACATGGTGCTTTATCGTTTCGGGTCTACAGGAGTTGTCCAATGCCTTTCACGTGCTGCAGAACTGCTGGGACTCGTGCCTGTCTTCCCCGTTCGCAACATCTCCACCTTCTCTTCTGGTTCCGGAACGGCTGTGTTCCGCGATTGCGTTCTTGTTGGCAAGTGAGTGGCCCTGATATGAAACCTATCGCTCCAACTGGACCTTCTGACGCCGAGCAGGAATACCACTGTGGGCGACGTTGCTCGCAAGGTGATGGGTGACGTACCCATCTCCTACATTGAAGGAGTCGGTGGCACCCGTGTCTCAGAGGACGAAATTGTGGAAGTAGGAAAGCACGATGTAGGATTTCCTGTTCAAATCAAACTGCTTGCGCCAAAGCTAACCGTTCTATTTTAGGTGCTGTCGTTCAAACCTGGTCGATAGATCCTGCTATTCAAGATTTTATGTACAGTCAACATGATAATGAAATACAAGTACTGAGATGATATAGCTCCAAGACTAGCATGCATCTTCCAGTCCGATTTAAACCGCTCCTGAGCTTTTCCCATTACTAATATATGACCCTGGTCTTAATGACCCTTCTGTCAGAGCATAATCAGTTAGCCATTCAACTGAACTCCGTGAGGTTTATAATGAATGTTTAGGCTTGCATGGGTTTTACATTGGCACTTACATGGCCTCTCTCATCATTCATTCCAATAATTGGCTCTGGTGCCTTCGGATGTTCCTGCTTCGCCTTCTTTCCATGCTGACTACCTCCCTTTTCTGTTGCTCCCTGAGGCTTTGCGTCGTTACCCCCGCCCTCCTTCCTGTCCTGCATAACAGAAGCTGATGCATCTGTTGTTGGGTCTGTGGTATCACTTTTCTCTGCTCGGTTAACTGCATTATCCTCCGGCCCAGTACCCTTCCAGTCTTTGCCCAGGCCGCTGTTTAGGCGTGCTTGCACGCTTCTCGGGGTATGAATCGCAGCCGGCTGCCAGATAGAGCGCAGTGGAAGCAGACATGGTGTTGGAGGCCGCGGTACAAGCAGATTGTGGAGCTTTGAAGCTGAAGACTGAATGCGGGTGTTGGCAGGCATATTGGCGGTTGTAGTACTGAAGCAGCTAGTAGACCTTGTGGTAAAAGTGGTTCTTATTGACGCAGCACTATGTCTTTCACGTATAGTAAGAATAATAACTTATCTGTCCGGGTTAAGTCAGAACATCCCCGCAGTTTCAATTAATACTAGCTAAGGTCCGATCGAGTTCGCCTGGAGAATCCGGCTCGACAGCTTTTGTATGACGTCTACATGCCGCAATGTACCCCAGTTGCGATCTAACGGTCATGGATAGGGCTTAGGGCATGGGGATAGCTCCCCGCCTTCTTATCGATAAGGACAAACAAACACCTGACCTGTACGTCGCAGACTGCACCATGCTTGCTTTATAATGGTCGTACGCATTTGCTACTGCAGAAGTAACGCCCCGTAACTGAAACTTAACAAAATGAAGCACGATTACTATCCAATTGAGACGCTTCCGTCGTGGATAAAGCTCAACGGGGTCTCCGTCAATGGTATCGCTTTCCGCAAATTGCAAGCAGATGATGGCACCGACAAGGGGTCTGCAATTGTTGCAACCGAGGTAAAGGCCAGTGGAAATGCAGCGAGCGACGCGGTAGTGTCGGAGGTACTTCTACGAGTACCATCTGACTTGGTCCTGTCATTTGAATTTGTTGAAGAATATTCCAAATCGGATAGACAGCTCCGTGAGGTATTAGAAGCTGTCGGGGACTTTGGAAGAGTAGGTCTATTTCCTCTTTGTAATCCGATCTCGGCCGAACAGATATCGTGTTTATGGCTTCTTCGGGGAGAGACGGATGAGCTCGTGTTAATTGTATGCTGACCTGTACAGACAGCCAGAGGCGCCATATTAATATTTCTTCTCGTGCAACTTACCCACTCTAGCCCGGACTATGCGCATGAGCGGCACCAGATTGGACTATCGAGCCCTTGGACCGAATATATGAAGTATATGCCGTCCTCTATACCTTTGCCTACATTCTACAGTGAAGAGGAGTTAGAGCTCTTGCGCGGCTCCTCGTTGAGGTTGGCTGTGCATGCGAAGATTGCCTCGCTGGAGAAAGAATTCGAACACCTGCGTCAGAGCACAGAGGGCTTGGACTGGTGTGAAAAGTATTGGTGGGATGAGGATACGGGGAAACTGACGTTCAACGATTGGAAATATGTCGATGCGCTGTACCGGTCACGCATGGTAGATCTGCCTCGGCATGGACATGCCATGGTTCCATGTATCGATATGGCAAACCATGCTCCTGAGGGGACGGTCAAGGCGTTGTATGACGAGGATGCCGATGGGAATGCAGTGTTGCAGCTGCGGGATGGACGGAGCTTGCGGGCTGATGAGGAGGTCACAATCTCGTAAGTGTTGTCTTTATATTGACTACTTGTTGGTTGAGCTTGCTTAAACTGACGATATTAAGGTATGGTGATGAGAAGTCCGCTTCAGAAATGATTTTCTCATATGGATTCCTCGACGAGCATATCACGGACGCGAGGCAGATCTTCCTTGACTTGGATATACCTGATGACGATCCCTTGAAGATAGCAAAGAAAGCATTCTGCAAAGATACACCCGGGGTCAAGATATCAACTTCCTCTAGCGGCTCAGGAACAGCCGCAGCTACAACCTGGGACAGCCCCATTATCTGGTGGGCATGCGTGAACGAGGAAGACGGGCTAGACTTTAACGTCCTTCAAACCACCGACGGCGGCAGGGAACTTAAAGCTACCTGGAATGGGCAGGAAGTGAGGGACGCAAGCTGTCTCAGGGACCTGCTAGCTGCAGATCCCCATTGGGACATCTACCAGCTTCGTGCAGTGGTGCTCATCCTTGAGCGACTGGAGACCCAATTCTTCGTCCTCCGCCAAACCGACATGATGATTAGCGAGATCCGCGAGAACGAAGACATGCGTGCTATTTTCGAACCATTTGTGTTTCAGACAATCTTGAGGTTACGAGAGCTGGAGTCCAAGCTTATGGAACAGACAATTGAGGACCTCGTTAACCAGGTACGTTACCCCATATTGTAAACCCCACACAATAAGTCAAACATAACCAAAAGATACTAATTGTCGATCCTTCAAACAACAGCGGGAAACTCTCGTGTCAAGCCCCGCAGTCAACGCCTACCTTGCCCAACAATCAGGGGACATCGAGGAGGATTTCTCCTGAAAGTGAACTACGATCTTAAAACACCCACTTGCGCACGTCTAGTCTAGCTAGTTAGCCATCTCAAACCCATTATAGCAATTAAACAATCAAGCCAAGTAACCCCTAGTTAGTCAATAACTAGTTAACGAGTAGCACGGTGCCAACCTATCTATCTGCAACCAACCAACGAACCACCTAATCAACCCCCAACACGAACCCCATGCATGCCGATCCTTCATTAAATCCTACTACTACTACTGCTACTGAGCAGCAGCAACTAGTTATGAATTAACTCAGGTTCTCGTATCAAACCCACACAATATTACCCAACCCGTAACAGCACCGTAAATTTTGGAACCACGGCCACAAAAACGTGGAGGTACCAGATTTCCACTTAGCTACTAAGCCACCACCACCACCAACCCCGGAAGATCTGAGTTTGAGTTAAGTATGAGTAGTAGTGGTAGTATCTTACCCACCGCGGGGTAAGGCGATCCTTCCAAAAAACGAGAGCGTCGGATTGGTTGGAAGAAGTGACGAGAAGAAAAGAAAAGGAATTAATTGGTCCTGGTTGGTGAAACTTTAAATTACCATTTCTGGGCAAATGCTAGTTTGCCTGGAAGGATTGACCACGAGACTACTATTTATTCTAATGCTTTAAATTGGTTTCATCACTTAAGGGACTATGTAGTGATGACGTTTGCGATGATTCATACTTGAAGTTGCCAAGGGTTGGTGATTGATGATTATTGGTGAAAAACTTGGTGCGTTAGGTTTGACGGTCCGATGTCGCTGAGGTGGTTGTCTACGACAATTTCTAGTAGTACTGGCTGAGATTGAGTTGGTGTGTTGGTAAGATATTACAGTAAGTTCGCCTGAGGGAATTCGTTACTGCAGCCCTGTGGTGGGTATCTTACCAGGCATCGATCGGATAATTTTCGCGTGCTTTGGGTCTTACCGTGAAAGTACTCACGTAAGACGGTCACTAGGTACGTACTAGGTACATCCTAGTTACATCGGAGGGGGATGTGAAGATGCTATGTAGATACATATCGGGATCTCAGCTCGTGGGGCCAGATTCATGCACGCTACAGCTACGGTCCGCCATGATCGACTGCCAGAGGCCCAGGAGACCCTGGCTAACAAGAAGGTGGTCCAGCCAGCCAGCCAGCCAGCCAGCCTTCTGGGCCTGGGAGGATTTATCGAGTGAGATATGCACAGCAGTTGCAGAGCGCCGAACTATCGACCAATGTGAACCACACCGGCTAGTCAACTGGTGCTGACTACTCTGTAATAGTCAAACCCACCACTGACAATGACCAAAAATGTCTTGCCTCAGGTGTTCATCGCGCTGATGTTGAAAACTGGAACAATAGCAGTGGGCGAATCACAACCCCCTTCCAGACTGCAGTCATTGATGGTCCATGGATATCCGCCTCCACCTCTGCGTTTTCTCGGCAAACGCTCGGCGCATGACCAACTTTCACCGAGCCACGGTCAACGTAAATGAAAAAAAGCGCTCGGAGTACCCAGGACATATTATATTAATGAATGTGATAACCACTAGTCGCTGATAAGTCAGTCGGATATCCCCGTCGGGCAGGGCGAGGGGGGGAAAAAAGTAAAAAGAAATAAGCAAAGAAAAATTGCAGCTGAGGAGCTTTTATATGAGTGATATTGAATCCTCTTGGTGTTTCCCCACTGAGAAAATAAGCAGACTCGATCTCGTTCAGGCCTCGTGCCATTCGATCAATGGGAATACGAGGATAATAATCCAGAATCCAAGATCAGGAGCGCTTACTCTCCGCGATCTTCCAGCCGCGAACACCGGGGGGGAAATCAGTGGCGACACCGCATGAGGCAGTTCATATCCAGACCCAGGGGACGAGGCCCTGACTCAAACGGGAATGGTTCGGCGAACGCTCGGATTCCCCACCCCGGTTGGGCTGGAATTGGAGAGTCAATAGTAATGGTGAGAGCAACAGATCTGCCTTGCATTTGCATGAGAAAAATTCATCATCGTCAATATTATAGTCAACTTCCCTTTTTTTTTTCCTCTCAGAAGATAGAAACTCAAGGAAAGCTGAAGATCGCTTTGTACGAGATGAATACGTTATCTGTCTGAAAAGCCACCATTCAATGTCATTTTGTAAATCAAGCGTCCGGGTGCCAGTTGGGTTCCGAATCGCGGGGAGGTGGTGGTTGGTTGTTGGCCAACCACGGTAGAGAGAAGTGGTAATATTAGAGTCTGATGGTCTGGACAGTTGGCAAAAGACTGAAGTGATCTCCATCGGGTCCCCATCCACTCTCCCACATTTGTCGGACCGCGAGCCCGGTGGAAACCGGCAAAGCTTTGCTGGCTCGGAATGCTGTGATCTTCAAGAGCCGGACCGCACTTGCGTTCTGCTAGTGTCGGTTTTGTCTGGTTCATCTACATACTAGTCCTCGTGCATTCTCCATATTCACCCCGATAATCCGTGCTTGGGAGGGGAAATAGATTGCAACCATGGGCCTTGGCAGCCATCCGTGACGATATGATTAGATATGGCAATGAACGGGACACTCAACCTTGATGATACGAGAACCCCATCGTGGATCCTATCTGACTGGTTGTGTGTCTTGATGGCTCGCCAATCACTTGCCCTTCTGAACACCCCTGTAAGGAGAATTAAATGTAGGAATCTCCGGTGGAAAGAGGCCTTATTGCACCGGTGCCATTAATCATACATTAGTGGCCGCGCTGGTCGGAGTAGGTCTGCTGTGGACTTGCCCTTGGTGGAAGTTGTTCCTGCCGCCGCCAGTGCCGAGGCGTCGACGCGGGTTGTGTCAGGGGCCTGTCAGTGCCAACTTTTTTCTCCTTTCTGATAAGGTGACAGCGAGGAGATTGATGCTGATGAGACGGAAGGGGCGGCGTCTTACTGCTACATATCTACTAGTACTAGCTTATAAGGAATTAAATGCTGTTACCTATTGGATACTACGTAGCCTCGACTAAACACATAAGTATCCCTCGTTCTCCGATGCAATACTCCGCCTCGGCTCAGCT